TAAAAAAAATAAACCCCACTGGATGTAAAATAAAATGTTCTTCCTGGTGACAGATTAATAAAATAATTAAACAGGTAATGTTTTTGTCAATTTAGTGTGGGTAAAGCATTCTAGCACAGATTGCAATTCCTGCTTAGACTATAAACATTTGCATTTTATGAGTTTTTAAAAGCAGTTCATATTTCAAATTCAAGGCCTAATGTCACATACAACTGCATTTGACAAAATGTTATTCCTGTGCTATTTGGAAAGAAAACCCAAATACTAGGTTTTGGCAGAGGTTTTGAGCAGGGTGAGGTCAATCTGTAAATAGCCAAATAGATCTAACTTGAAATATTAATCATTTATATAATCCTATTTAATATATTTTACCCCAAGTTAAAATGCACTGAAATCTCACTTGGAATTTAACAACCATCTATACTCAACCATCAAATATTTAGTGTCTGTTTAGGGAAAGTAATTGGTAGAACGCACAGCTACTATTTATTCTGTTTGATTAATGTTTACCAAGTGGACGTTTTGGAACAAAATACATCAGTGTTCCACACTCACTGATGGTCCTTCTACTTATCAGTACCTTATCTCCTGATGCTGCTTTCCATAATTCTTTGAAAATTAAGCACAATGATTATTTTCTTGAATTAATTTTTAATTTCTGTAAAGAATTTGCATTGCTCCTGGACAATAGATGTATCACCTTTTCATAATCCACTCTAGATTAACATATCCACTTCTCACTACATTTGCTTCTCAAAATCACTAAGGACAGAGAGCAGCATTCCTCCTTTCCTGGTGCCTCTCGTTGCGTTACTTCAGGTGAATGCTATGATCTCTGGGGGCAGCCAAGCACCTTGCACATGCTATAGGTTCATGGTTTGATTACAGAATTAATGAACCTCCTGATATGATAATGGAGTCCATCCTGCTGATTGAACAGGTGGTTTCAATGATTAAACAAGGCATAGTCTAGGAATGACACTTAATCTGCCATGACCAGACATCCTATGAGGAACAGAAAAGTTGAGAATAATTTGTGTGAGTTAATTAAATGTCCTCACTGTATTTCCAGAAGCAAGTGTTAGCATTTTCTTTACAATACCCCTATCTAGGCTTAAACAAGGTGACAGCAGTAGTGAGGTTTGGGGACAAACTAAAAGATAATAAAGCAAGGTCCTTTCTGTCCTGACAAAGAAATGATACTTCTCTTCTTCAATTTTGGGTGTTGATATTAATCTTATTTTGATTCTTCTAAAAGGAAAAGCTAAAGTCTTAACTGTATCGTACAATTGATTCCTTCCTCATAAATCTTCGTGTTCTATGACAGTCATGAGTTTTGCCTTTTCTCTGTATTTTAGTTAAATGTTGTCTAAGAGGAACAATATTTTTGAGCCAGTTGTTGTCAATTGAGAAGACTAAAACAGCTCTAGGTTGATCTTTTTTTTCTTTTTTAATGTGACTCTGTATCTGGTTCATGCTTTCCTCCAGACAGTTGTTATTGTTTTCATGGGAAGCATTGCATGATGAATATATTAAAGTGAGTATAGCTCTCTCAAAAAAAGATACAATATTTCTTGACATTTGGGAACCTGAAACGAGAGAGCTCTTGGTCCAAAAGATGTTCTAAGCCATGTCCCTTCCATCCTAGAAAGGAAATTCTCAGTGGTTACCCAAACAGATCTGATGAAAGAGAGAGAGAGTCTATATCAGAGATTATAAAAGACTAAAGGACTCCTCAGAATTTTGCAAATGTGTTTTCAGTTCTTAGTTAATTATCTTTTGAATAATGTTTGAGTTGCTAGAAATTGTTCACCAAATAGCATGTATCTTGAAATGTGAATCAGTTTTTTGGAACATGTTTAAGCCATCTAGAGTATCCTACATCTTATACAATCCTTGTAGTGTTTTTGTTTTTGTTTTAAAGTATTGATTCTTTTTTATATATATATTTTTATTGATTTTTTACAGAGAGGAAGGGAGAGAGATAGAGAGCTAGAAATGTTGGTGAGAGAGAAACACCAACCAGCTGCCTCTTGCATACCTCCTACCGGGGATGTGCCCGCAACCAAAGTACATGCTCCTGACCGGAATCGAACCTGGCACCTTTCAGTCTGCAGACCAACGCTCTACCACTGAGCCAAACAGGTTTCAACTAGAATCCTTGTTTTTAAAGCACAAAACCACACTATCTATATGAAAAAGAGAATGGGGGATGCTAGGGAGAAAAAGTGAACAAAGTATAGAGAGTCCCTGGAAAGGACCTGTGTGCTGTCTGGGAAAAGAGAGAGTGAATTCTAAAGGAGGTAAAACTAAAAGCACTAGTGTATATTTTAAGAACAGCCAAGGTGTTTGCAAATGACTAGTTATATTTGAGTAAACCCATATCTCATTGGCAGTATTCTTCACTTATTGGTCAGATAGTTGCCCTAAATATCATTTTAAGGATAGTAAAAAGATGAAGATAAGTGTTTGCTTTTTTTTCTTTTAAAGCAAGCATGATACTTGATCTTTAAAGAGCCAGTAACATTATATGTCAATCTATTAAGTCAAAGCAACCTAGAATTAATGTATTGTTATATTCAGTAAATGCAAATTTGAGCTCTTCTCACTTTTGTCCCAAGCTAAGGACTATGATGGCTGACTTAGGGCTGCAGAAACATCCAGCCCCACCGTTTAAGTTTATAACCATAGTAAGTCTCCTCATATCTCCTCATATATATGTGTATACACACACACTCACACACACACACACACACACACACACATATATGTGTGTGTGTGTGTATTTATCCTCCTTTTATTTTGAATATATATATATATATATACACAGATATATATATACAGATATATATATATATATATATATATATATATATATATATATATATATATCCTACTTTTATTTTGCGTGAAAATAAATAAAAAACAAAGATATAAACACCTGGATAGTAATGATGACACGTTTTTACCCCGCTGCCATCTCTCTAGGATTCTTGCCTCCTGTGAATGTTTCTAGCTCAGCAGTTTCTATATAAGTGGCTCACACAGTGGCCCCGTGGAATTGACTTAATGGCTGTGTCTTTTGGGATGTGTATGAGACATTAATTTTGATATAGATGTAGAAAGCTCAGAAAGATGTGTAATTTTTAGTTTAATCCTAAAATGCACAGCTCTACTTAAAACAGTTTGTCCTGACTAATAGAACTACTTCTCAACCCCTGTTTTGTGCTGCTTTGAAAACATGTTCAATCTCAGCACTAACTTTTGTGAATTTTTCTTGGGTGTACTGTTGCTTTTACCAGAAGTCCAATCCTTAGCTCAATTATCGACTGTAATTTCCCTAAGGGTAGCTTTCTTTTTATAATACTGAAAAATCAATGTTTTTGTTTCCGAATATGAATTGAAAAGTGACTCTAATTATCCGCCACTAACAGGGATGATAATAACTACATTGGTAAGTGCTTACATTTATATAGGATATTATTTGTATCAAAGGAGGATAGAATCCGTCTCCTGTTTGACAGGGTGATAAACAAACTTGATCACAGTGATGGATTCAAGCTCCTAGGGTGAAATGTAGTAGCTACTAAATAGTCCACAGCGGTACAAAATTGAAGGGTAAAGAACAAAAAACGGTTTCTTTATTTATTGCCTTATCGAATGTATATCCACTGCTGGTGGCCCCTCTTAGACTGCCAGAAAAAAAACCCGAAAAAAAAAACCCCAACAATTTGCTTGTAACAGGATTCACCTGTAAACGCTTGCGTTTCCACGTTGGATGCAGTGTTAAGAAAGTGTGTTCTAATGAGACAATCACAGGCTCCGAGCCAGATGAACCGGCTCTCTAACTTCATTTCTTCCACTTATGAGCTTATCAACTTGGGCCATGAATACAACCTCTGTGAGCAGCATTGTCCTTGTGGGGTAAATGCAACATGAGGTGATGACTCTCTTGGCGGGATGTTATGAGTATTAAGTGATGTACAATATTTGGGTTGTCTGGTAGGTATTTGAATACTCCACATGTGATCGTTCCTGAGGGAGGAAAGTAAGGAGTTGGCATTCAGGACTGAGAGCGGGGCTGTGGCTCTTTTCCATTGTATTGGCTGGTTATTGTCTACAAGTTTTTTGTGGTTTTTTTTTTTTTTCTTTTGCCAATTTGCCCCTTTCCTGGTCTTTTGGCTAGAGAACAGATCTTTTCTCTGACATATTTTTGGGGGGGAAATTCTGAAGCATTTGTCTTGATTTCTACCTTTATAAGCATCTGATACAAAACATAAGTTGATCTTTTTTATTAAATATATTTTATTGATTTTTTATAGAGAGGAAGGGAGAGAGATAGAGAGCTAGAAACGTTGATGAGAGAGAAACATTGATGAGCTGGCTCTTGCACACCGCCTACTGGGGATGTGCCCGCAACCAACATACATGCCCCTGATCGGAATCTAACCTGGGACCTTTCAGTCTGCAGACCAATGCTCTACCACTGAGCCAAACCGGTTTCGGCATAAGTTGATCTTTTTAAAATTACAAATAATGCTATATTGTCTATCATAACTACAGATGCTGTCACAGTGGGATTAGCTCCCACTATAAGTTGAATATAAAAATTTATTTCAGACAAAAAATAGTTTCCTGCAGTAGTTAAATCTGTTTGCTTGCATTTTCCTATCCCATTTGTTTGTTTTTATGCAGCCACTTATTCTAACATTATTAGAGGATTTTATACCTCCTTCCCAATCCTTCCCACATTGTTTGTAAAACCACTCCACTATGTATTAATATTGAACTAAACTCCTAGCTGGCTTTATATCATCAGCAAAATCACAGAACACCTTGATTGCTTTATAAAAACAACAACAGGGTGCAATCTTAAAGGTTGCTTTATGGTTTACAATAACTTTGACAAATAGAAAATATTTTCTATTTAATCCAATTCATTTTTATGGGGCACTACAATAAGCGAGGCACTGAGCTGCTAGGAACACGAAGATGAATACGATCCTCCCCCAAGTTGTCCGCAGAGGACTGAGGAGGAGGTCACACACGGCTAAGGCCAGGTAAAGACAGCATGAATAATGCTGGCCTGGGTTGGGAGAAGGGAGTTGGGAGAGCCTAAGAGTAGAGGTGACCTTTAATCTGGAACTAGAAATACAAGGAGGATTTTTATTTTGTTTCAGAGGAGTAAAGGACTAGAGAACAAAAAAAAAAAAAAAAAAAAAAAAAAAAATTAAATTTAAAAAATGCATGCATGAGTACAGGGACAGCAAAACACCCAGAGAAGCTCAGGGCTTGGCCCAGTGCCTGCTGCTCCGGAGATTCTTAGCAGGTCTTTGCAGAGGTATTGATTAAGGTTGCATGGTGAATAGGAGAGGGTAGGACACAGTTAAAGAGTTTCCTAAAACATTTAATCTTTGTCTTTTTCTACTTCATTAAGCACCTTTACTGTGCTCTCTCTTTTCACCTGCCTCAGATATGTAGTCATAATATATGCATATTGCAAACTGCACAAAGTGAGAATTTACTTTCTTAGGAAAGCAGACTATAAGCAGGTTTTATCTCCTTTTTTCTAAATTGTAAGCACTGAATTGGTTAAATTATTTTGTCACTTCTAAATGTGGAATATAGTTGAGTTCTGGAGGAGAAAAGAATTGATTGCCATAACAAGGTCTACTGCTAAACTGAACATATGTTGCTCATAATGTCACTTTCTAAATCAATGAAATTATCATTATAGAACATGTCGACAAATTAGACATGTAAAGTGCCGGCTGTATGTGGGAGAGAGGTAATTTGGCTCCATAAAAAGAAAATTAAACAATAAAATATCATTGACAGATGTAGTTAGCTAAAGGTTTTGAGGTTTAAATACCAATTTGTGGGGGGAAATTATGCAGACAAACTGAGAAAACTAGATAAAAATACCAGTCTTCATGGAGAGGAAAATTCAGTCTTTTGACCAGATGTTCTAAGACCTTCATTGTGGCCTTTTTTTTTTTAACAGATGGGTATTCTGACAGTTACTAACTTTTTCAAATCCAAATAAAGTAGGTTAGTGGTGATAAAAGAATAAAGCCAATTAAATATTTAGTTCATGTCTCTCATTTGAAAGAGTAGGTTAGGTTAGATTAAGAAGGTCAGGTTCTTCCTCACAGGGCTTCTTCAAGCAGAATTTGTCTTGTGTTTCTCTCCTTAGAATGCAACATGCCAAAAAGCCACAGGTTCCTACATTTTTTTATAATTGTGGTTACTTATTTCTAACAATAACAGCACTGTGACATTATATGAAAGTCTTAAATATAAATATAAACATTAAGCAGCACAGTTATTGATGGCAAGCTGATTGTCATTACTATGAAAGCTGTGTATTTCTACTTGGATAGTAAAACAAGTGAAAATTAATCTCCTTTTATACTCAAACTACAATCATTATTCCTACTGGGTTTCAGATTTATAACATCCATAGCTGAAAAAATAGCTGCACCCACACTTTTCTCAATATTAAAGGCTGGGACAGAGTAACGGAATATAAACAGTAGACAACATTGCTGGTGGCTTTTACAAAATATTTAGCATCACCTATAGATTAAGATGGTAAACATTACATATACTGAGATTATAGAAATAGTATTAGAATATTTTAAGATCAATGAGAATTATTAAGGGCCTTCTTCAATCTTTTCTAAACCCTCCGCTTTTATTTTTCTCCACTATGCCCACTAATCCTGAGAAGCAATAGTAAATTCATGATTTTGTTCTCTAGCCCTCAGCACAGTAACTTTCACATGGTAGTAACTAAATAAACACATGTTGAAGTAGCTTACAGATGCGTAGAGGCAGAGAAGAAATAAGGTTAAAATATTTCCCAAGTGGAAACCATGAATCCTGCTTATAAAATAATTTTGCCTTGCATGTCCCAGGCACTTGGGACGGTTATAATTCTGGCCCCCATATAGTTTATTGGAGCTGCATGAGCAGGACTTCTACCAACTAGTTGTAAGGGAAAGTGCCCTGAATCACTTCCAGGTTGTGCTCTCTCATTGTTGGTGTGAGGCCCAGCAGAGTGTTCTTCCATTTCTTGGTGCTCTTGCCAGTTGCTCTATCAACCTGAATCCTGGGTCAATTAAGCCCACTCTAACATATGGGTGGACACAGTGCATTAGTGAGAAATAACTGTTTGTCACAATGTATTAGTGAGAAATAACTGTTTGTCCCTGAGATTATGCTGAGTGATACAATAGGCAATGGATCAAGTGGCCACAAATATTTCCCAAGAAAGATTGCTTCTCTTATTAAAATGCCACATGAGCCTGGCCAGTGTGGCTTAGCTGGTTGAGCCTTGTCCCATGCACCAGAAGGAGACCAGTTCAATTCCCAGTGTGGGCACACACCCAGGTTGCAAGCTGGATCCCCAGTAGAGGGTGTACATGTAGGAGGCAGCTGATCAATTTTTCTGTATCTCTCTCCCTCTTCTGAATTCAATTTAAAAAATATTTTTTTAAAAACCACATCTTTGCCAATATCTTACCCTCACTCCCAATTTCCATCCTTTTTCCAAAATAGCAGTTTTATTGAATGTTAAATATTGCAGTAGTCCACACCTGAAGATTTTTGTCCCATGGAAAAACTCTTTCCAAAGTGGGCTATATGCTAATGAGGTAAGGATGATTCTGCAGAAGAATACACATACTAATACATACAGACACACACTACATCCTAAATAACTTTATTTACTCTCTTCTTAGCCAAAATAGAAAAACATAATGATATAAATAGTGGGATTATCATGGTCATTCAGGTAGATACTATTTTCTTGAGTTTCAATGACTAATGGAAATTGATGGCTACATTATATTTCACACAATATAATTAATAGCAAAAAATGACAAAATTATACAAGTGGGAAGAAATGAGTATTTAACATACTAGTAAATGACATTGCCATCTGAAAGTTGTGGGTAGAAAACTTTTCCTAGCATCTGTTACAGAAATATGGAAATTGATATTTTTAAATGCAGTGTGAAATGTGAAATAAGAATAAAATGTGGTTAGTCCATATTTGAGGATTATTGCTTGTCAAAATAATGTGTCCAAAAAGAAAGCCATCTAAAAAGGTTACCCCTCATAATACTGCCACCAATAGTGCATTTCCAGTAAATGATATATTTCATATTTCCATGCAACATTCAATACTATAAACCTAATACCCCAAGGCAACCCAAAAAGAACAGAGAAGGAATGTACCAGTGCACATATGTAATCTCCGGACTGTGTGAAAGAAGGAATGTGCCAGTACATATATGTAACCTCCGGACTGTGTGAAAGAAGCCATATTTCAACAGGACCAGGGAGTCTATACCCAAAATCCCCTGAAGAGAAAGAACTCATGGCAGGGGTCATTTCACCAGCAATGGAAATTAAGAAGGAAACATCCAGCAATGAGGAACGTGACGTAGCACAGAATACAGATAACCCTTGAACAGCACAGGGATTAGGGTTCCAAAACCCAACATAGTAAAAAATCTGTGTATAACTTCTATTTTCCCAAAAACTTAGCCACTTATAGTTTACTGTTGGCTGGAAGCTTTGCCAATAACAAAGTCAATTAACACTTATTTTGTGTTATATGTACTATATGCTGAATTTTTACAATAAAATAAGCTAGAGAAAAGAAAAAGCTAAGAAAATCATAATGTACAATAAGATGCATTTATAGTACTATATGTATTTCTTTTTAAATCCTCATAGAAATGAACCCTCACAGTTGGAACCCATGTTGTTCAAGGGCCAACTGTAATTATCTCCTAAAAGTTAACTTTAGGACCATTATTTTAATATCAAAAGCAGCATCAGAAAAAACGTTTTATGAAGATGGCACCAAAAGCTAAGAAGGAACCCCCTGCCTCTCCCAAAGCCAAAGCCAAAGCAAAGGCTTTGAAGGCAAAAAAAGCAATGTCAAAATGTCCTCGGAGGAGCACACCCAGGAGAACAAGCTTGCTCACTATGCCATCATCAAATTCCCCCTGACTACCAAGTCAGCCATGAAGAAGATAGAAGACAATAATACACTGCTGTTCATTGTGGATGCCAAGGCCAACAAGCACTAGATCAAATAGGCTGTGAGGAAGCTCTATGACATTGATGTGGCCAAAGTCAACACCCTGATCAGGCCTGATAGTGAGAAGAAGGCATATGGATGACTAGCTCCTGACTATGATGCTTTGGATGTTGCCAGAAAAAAATGGAATCATCTAAACTGAGACTAACTGACTAATTCTAAATATAAAAAAATTACACTGTAAAAAACCAACCAAACAACAACAACAAATAGCATTGGAGTGCAATTCAATAACCATTAACCAAAGGAAGGAGACCACTCTTCTCAGGAAAAAGAGAGAGCCTAAGGCATATTTAAGCACCTGTGTCTGTTTGCCCAAGGTGGAGTATATATCTAAGCCTATTTTTCCTGTCAATTTATAAGCCAGTCAGAAAAAGACAAGTATCACATGATCTCACTCACATGTGGAATATAATGAACAAAACAAAGTGATGAACAAAATACATACAAAGACATGCACACATAAAGCAGACTCAAATCTCAGAGAGAAGGCAGATGGGTGGATGGGTGGGAAGAGATCAGCCAAAGAACTTGTAAGCATATATGCATAACAGATGGACACAGACAATAGGGTGGTAAAGGCCTGGGGTGGGATGGAGGCTGGTTAGAAGAGATCAATGGAGGGGAAAAAAGGGGGACATACATAGTACTTTCAACAATAAAGATTTAAAAAATAAATAAATAAAATACCCCCCCCCCCCTAAAAAGAAATTTGCTATTCTTGTCTGGATCTTCATGTAGCAGATCCAAAATTTATATATTTTCCTTCAAACTTTTGTTTCAACTTCAGTCTTCAAAGAAACAAACTGGAGCATGTAAGGAATTAGGAAGTGCACCCAGAAAAGCAACAGAAAACAGACATAGCCCCTGGAAAACATTTCACCTGAGATCTAGGTCATCCAGGGACATCATCCAGGGATGCTTCTAGGTGTTGTGAGGCTTAAAACTTAAAAATTGATAGACCCTTCCGAAACTGGTTTGGCTTAGTGGATAGAGCGTTGGCCTGCAGACTGAAGGGTCCCAGGATCGATTCTGGTTAAAGGCATGTACCTTGGTTGCGGGCACATCCCCAGTAGGGGGTGTGCAAGAGGCAGCTGGTCGATGATTCTCTCTCATTGATGTTTCTGACTCTCTATCCCTCTCCTTTCCTGTCTGTAAAAAAAAAATCAATAAAATATATTTAAAAAAATCGATAGACCCTCTATAAGAATAATACAAAATGACAAAATTAAATAACTTAAAAGTATCTATTTAGAAAGAGAAATCATAGAAAATTTTAAAATTTTAAGTATTAAAAACCCAGAAAGGAAGCATAAGTGTATTTATTTATAACTGTTGAACATATCTAAATAAACCCATTTCTCCTGATTTTTTTTGGCTTCATAGTCTTTGATCACTCATTGATATGATAACAATCTTGTGTGTGTGTTTTTATGAAGAAAATGGAAAGATATCCAATCTTCCAGGGTGGTTGATCAGAAACTGGTAATTATTATTATTGCTAGTGTGAGTTCTTCCAGCCTCACAACTTGTGATTGATAAGAGCAGGTACATATTTAGGATTGTAGTTAAGTTTGGGAGAACCTCCTCAATTTTCTTTTCTAATTAGGTGTGAGACTTGGAAGAATTTTCTACAGCAGAGTCTTTGGATCTGCACATTTCACATCCTATCTTTCCTCCATACTTCCGGTGCAAGGTGCTGTTAAGAAATAGTTACGTCTGGATTGGACCTCTGTCATTGCATCAGTGTGTTGCAGTGTGAGATGGGTTGGCCAAGCAGGCATAGGAGCAGTCCTGGGAACCTTTCCTAATCTGGAATTGTTGGCAAAGTAACTGTCCACAGAAATAACTGTGAACCACATAAATACAGTATATCCCTCTAATTGCAGCTCAGCCTCCCCTTCACTAAAAAGTATAGAGGGCTATCCCAGCAACACAAGAGTGAGTAAGACAAAAGGGGAGGAAATCTGAGTGGGAATGGGTAACTCTCTAATCATTGTCACCATAACATCTCATTTTAAAAATTGTTTTTAAATGTTTCTTATTTGTTTATTTATTTACTCACTTATTTATTGGGGGGGGCGGGAAAGAGAGAGAGAGAGAGAGAGAGAGAGAGAGAGAGAGAGAGAGAGAGAGAGAGAGGTGCACAGAAACATTGATGTGAGAGAAACATGGATTAGTGGTATGGAACTTGTACTCAGACCTTGGATTGAACCTGCACCTCTCATATCTGGCCTGACTGGGAATCAAACCAGCAGCCGTTCAGTGCATGAGAGGACATTCAACCACCCGAGCCACACTGGCAAGGGCTCATTTAAATAAAATGTTACAAACTTATAATCCTGTATAATAGGGTAGCCAATCATCTCAATTTGCCAGGACAGTCCCAATTTTATTACTGAAAGTCTTGCATCCCCAGAACCCTTTAGTCCCAGGCAAAGAACAATTGATCACACTATTTTGTAAACTCATTTCCAGGACACTTCCCAGGGCCTAAAGGGTGGGGTGAGTTGAGTAAGTGAGGGGTCCAGAAACTCAGTCTTCATTAACCTCATCATTAAGCTAATCCTGGTTCCAAACCTCATCCTGCCAATTATCAGGGTATAACCTTGGGCAATGTACTATATCTTCTGAATTTTCTTCTTTTAACAGGTACAAAAATGTTTCTTGAGAGGAGTAGAAGAATTTATAAATATACAGTATCTCTAACAAAGTGGGATTGTTATTGGCAATTATTTTTGTTGTTGTTGACAGTATTACAAATGTCCCCCACTTGCATCCCCCCCCCCCCGCCAGTTGAACTCCTCCACCCAGCCCCTGGTCCAACCCAGGCCTTATCTACACTATTTTCTGTGTCCATGGGTTATGCATTTATACATATATATTCTTTGGTTAATCTCTGTCCATTCTCTTCACTCCCTTTTCTTCTGAGATCTGTCATTCTGTCCTATGCATTCACACATTAGGACCTATTTTGTTCACCAGTTTATTTTGTTCACTAGATTCCAAGTGAGGTCATGTGATTTTTGTCCTTTTTTGTCTTATTTAACTTAGCATAATAATCTTGAGATTCATCCATGCTGTTGTAAAGGGTAAGAGTCCTTTTTTTTATAGCCATATATTATCCCATTGCATAAATATATCACAGATTTTTTATCCACTCATCTACTAATGGATGTTTTTTTTTATTATTATTATTGTTATATGTTAAGGTAGGCCTGTAATGCTATGAACCTCCTTCTCAGGAATCTTTTCCCTATGTCCCATAGATTTTGGGTTGCTGGGTTCACTTTCATGTTTCCAGGAAGGTTTTTTTTTTTTATTTCTTCCTTGATATCTTTGGTAATTCATTCATTGTTTAATAATATACTTTTAATCTTCAGTGTGTGGGAATGTTCTTAAGCTTTTGTATTGTAGTTGATTTTTAGTTTCATGCCATTGGGATGTGAGAAGATACTTGTTATTATTTCAATTTTATTGAATTGGTTTGTTAAGACATATTTTGTGTCTTAACATGTGGTCTTTGAGAATGTTCCATGTGCACTTGGAAAGAATGTATATTCTGCCACTTTAGGATGAAATGTTCTGTAAATATTAATTGAATTTATCTTATCTAGTATGTCATTTAAAGTTGCTGTTTACTTGTTGATATGATGTCTGGAAGATCTATCCAGTAAAGTCATTGGGGTATTAAAGTCCCCTGCAATGACTGTATTGCTATCAATCTCTCCCTTAAATCTCTCCCATATATATGGTCCTATATTGGGTGCATATATGTTTAGAGGGGTTATATTTTCTTGCTGGATCAATCCCTTTAGTATTATATAGTGACCTCGTCTCTTTTTATAGCCTTTGATTTGAAGTCTATTTTGTCATATCTGAGTTTTTGCTATTCCAGCTGTATTGTTATTTCCATTTGCATGAATTTTTTTTTTCAGCCATTCACTTTCAATTGGTGTGGATCTTTTGTCCTGAGGTAAGTCTCTTGTACACAGCATGTATATAGGCTTCTTTATCCATTCAGCCACCTTTGTCTTTTGATTGGAGCATTTAGTCCATTAAATTTAAGATCATTATTTATAGGTACTTATTGTCATTTCTTTTCTTTATGCCTTTCTTTCTTCTTCTTAAAACAGTCCCTTTAATATTTCTTGCAATGCTAGTTTGGTGGTAATATACTGCTTTATTCTTTCTTTGTCTAGGAAGTTCTTTATTTCACCTTCAAGTTTAAATGATAGCCTTGCTGGATAGAATCGTCTTGGATTTAGGTCATTCCTTTTCATTACTTTGAATACTTAATGCTAATCTCTTCTGGCCTGAAGTGTTTGTTGAGAAACCAGCTGACAGTCTAATGGGACCTCCCTTATAGGTAGCTTTCTGTCTCTCTCTTACTGCCTTAAGATTCTATCTTTGTCATTACCATTTGTGATTTTAATTATAATGTGTTTTGGTATAGGTCTCATTGGGTTCATCTTGATTGAGACTTTCTGTGCTTTCTGTACTTGTGTGACATTTTCCTTCACCAGGTTAGAGAAGTGTTCTGCCATTATTTTATCATACAGGTTCTGTATGTATTGCTCATTTTCTTCTCATTCTGGTACCCTTTTGATGAGGATGTAATTACATTTCATGTTGTATAAAAGTTACCATCTACTGTCATCCTACTTTCTAATTCTTTTTTTCTTTTTGCTGCTCTAGTTGAGTTATTTCTCTGCCTTGTCTTCTAATATGCTGATTTGATCTTCTGCTTCATACAATCTTCCTTCCTGAGTATTATTGGTGTCAGAAAAGCTATTCTTTATTTCCTACTGGTTCTTGTTCATGGTTTCTATTTTATTTTTCATGCAAAATTATTTGTAATTCACACTAATTTCCTTGCAATTCTCATAAGCTAATTGAGCACTCTTATAAACATTATTTTGAACTCTATATCTGATAAATTGCTTGCCTCCATTTTATTTGGCTCTTTTCTGGAACTTCCTTCTTTCCTTTCATTTAGAAGTTGTTTCTTTGTCTCCCCATTTTTACTATCTC